CGTTCTCCGCCAGAGGCAAAATAGAAGAATCCGTAGAGCCATCCATTTGTTGGAAAAACATCAAGCACCCCAAAAATTTGAGTTGGAGCTTGTTCTGTTTACACGCAACGTTTTTGAGTAGTAGGTACTGTACAAACATTTCGGCTAACAGTCTTAAGAATGTCACTTATTTCCTGGGAGCGAAGGAAGCATGGAAAATAAAATTATTGCTTCCTTTTCTGTGAACAAAAAAAGTTATCCATTGCGAATCTAATGAAATTCAATAAAATCTTAACTCAATTGCACTTTTGTCAATGTCAACTGAGATTTTATCAACAATATTTGTTACAGTTGTCTCATGTTGTTTACTTTGTTGCGGTTTGTCCGCCAGTAGTTGCATATTATCCATAGCAACAACAACAGCGATCTATTACAGTCTTAAGCGACAGAATAAACGCCACTTTGTCTGCCAAAGCATAAGAAGCTGTCTGTAAGTCAAGATCAGAAACCGCAAAAATTAAAACGTCACTTAAACACAGCGGTTAAAAAGGCAGCTCTTTTTGCCGTACCCTTCCTTTCAATCCACGCCAAGATAAACACATAAGAAAACCTGCCTTGTTTATTATGTGGCTAAATAATTGAGAGGGAGAGAGAGAGAGAGAGAGCAATTAAATCAATGCCACAACTCGCTTGGAAATCAGCACGAGATAAAAGCAACATAAGAAATAAAAGCTAGACTGAAGATCATGAATTCGATTAAGATTTCACATTTCATTTGCAATTCGCAATTTGTGAGGAGAAGATTTGAAGAAAAGGAAATAAAAGTTCGACTTTTGTAAAGTGAAAGAAACGAGTAAATGTGCTGCATTGACAATTGTAGGTGGAAAGATTGTAAAAAAAAAATGTTACAAATTAAAGATCAAAGTAGTGATATGGGCTGGCATAAATGGCGGCACAGAAGATTGGTGAAAATGACGCTTACAATTTGGCAAGACATTTCACAGTTGACGTCAAAGAAGGTTGGTTTTACAAGGGTGAGCCTGAATTACGTGGCTTAAAATCGAGAGTAGAAGCACGCATAGTAGCAAAAGCAGAATATAATTTATTTAAATTAAATCATTTTTTTCTCCCATAAAAATCACACAGCCCTAACCTCACTTTGAAATGAGCGCCTACAGCATTGACGTGGGCGGACAGCACACGTCGATAGAGTAATGTAAAGTTGACAGCAATTTGACAGCTAACATTCGTTGTCAACGTCAATTTGGGTCAAGTCGCATTAGGCAGCCCTTCAGTGCGCAAAATGGTTGCTCCCTTAAGTGTAGACAAATTTGTGTCTATGGAGCAATGATTTTTTAGAAAATATGCAGAAATCACTAATTAAATTAAGTAATGAAATAATAATATTTTAATAGTGCGGAAAATTTAATGAAAAATGCTAATCAAAAGCCCCATGAAGAGCACAAATTAAATGAGGTAAGAGGATCTGGTTATGATAGGAATATATGTATGTATACGTCACAGTGGTTTTTTATGTTTTTTTAGTAAAACGTTTTAAGTAATTATGTGTTTTTTATGAAAGGAAAGCTTACATTTTTTTCATATACATTATATAAAAAAAAATATTTATATGTTTTTGTATGGACACAAAGAACACAAATTAAACACTTAAAAAATATATGCTCTAAAGATCTGTAAGAACCTGAGTCTTCTTTAAACAGCATTTTTGTTAAATTTCTGTTTTTGTTCAATTTTTATTATAATTAGTATCAAGGGAATCGAGCCATAACTAAAATTATCTCGAATAGGTCAAGCCCTTGTCCACTTTCCAAAAAAAACCATTGTTCGTACGAACCGTAACAATAATGAGAGAAATAATATCGCGAAATTTCCAGTCCATCAGTAGGTAAATATGTAACCTAGTAAACTCCCTTGTATCGAAATTTATTGTTATTGTTACAAGGTCTTAAAGGCGAAAGCTATTCAAGAATTCAGAAAGAATCGAATTTTGTTTTATCTCAAAAAATGTTTTTTTTAGGGTCTTGGAAATAACATACCAAAAAATGGATGCCGCAAAAAATGTCTAAACATTCAAATTCGAGGGCAGTGCCTCACAAGTATGCCACGAGCGCCATTTAACTTGAAAACACGCTTTTCTTGAAGTCACTTTTTTAAAATGACCTAAGACATAATTCGAAAAAATCTGCACCGATTCTTACGAAATTTTGACAGTACATTCAAGGTTCCACTTTCCAGAGACAGGAGAAGTAGGATTTTTTATATATTAATTTCTTTTCTTCAATCAACAATTTTATATTATATTTATTTTTATAGTGAAAAAAAATATCTTACGTACGTCGCTTACCGTTGTTATATAGAAATTCAAAAAATTTTATCTTGCGATCCAGGACAAAAATTAAGGAGTTAGGCCTTCGGCCATGGACATATTAGAAAAAAAGGCGTCCAGAAATACTGGGAAGTGGCCATTTTGAAATTAAATCACACGAAAAGTTTTCTATTTGCACCATGGAATCTATAATGTTAAACCTATTTCCCAGGCTTTCTATTAATTCCTTTATTGAGTCAAAATAAGTTCTAGACCAGATTCGCCCTTTAATTTAGATGAACATATACCCATAATGAGCTATGAACAGGCGCTTAGATTCCAGATTGACGCAGCCGACTTCAAAAACTCTTCGTCCACATCTACGCTAATAGGAGATGACCAGTAGAGTTAGTCTCCCTGCATGCTATTGTGGAATTTACGATTTCTGCAGTCAACTTATCTTTGACCAAGAAGTATTTTTCACAATCAAAGTGAGTTTTTGAGGTGATTTTAAATAAAAGATTAAGACCGCGCTGGACATCAAGAACAACAACACATTGGAAATGTTGAGAAAATGGGAAAATTGCCTAAAGCCAAACTTAGCAATCACAGATCGCTAACGCGATTTCCGGAAATATACTCTGAATGCTTGAAATCCTCTGCCGAGGGGCGACGCTAATTAGAAAAATTAGTTTTCTATAATTTTGGATGTTGGACGAAACAGAAATGACTTACCGTACGCAATGCTAACCGCTCGACTATTGTGGTCGCCTGAAACTTTTTGCAAAAAGGGTTCGGATATAGGGAAAGCCCATGATTTTTGCACCATCATTATAGGTTGTTGCTTATATTGTTCCGAAAATTCCATGTTCGCCTCTATACGAAACAAAGTTTTGAGTCGATTGAGGAGGTTCATCGGGAATCGCAGAAGGAAATTTTAGCCAAAGGTACTTACGCCTGAACAAGGTTTAGAAATTGTTCAATAACCGGTCTACTGAACCTACTCTTCCCAACACCATCACCCATCTTGAGACTCAGATTCATTATTGGATAATATTCGACCGAATACGAAATGAAGGAAATATAACGGCCGTAGCTAAGAGTGTACACGCAGGCCGTGAGGAGTCCATTTGGCGCCGTTCGCAGCAACTTGGGCTGACGTATTGAACGACTTGGCGCATTCTACGTCAAGATCTTGAATTGCAACCATACACAAAACAGCTTGTGCATGAATTGAAGTCGCTCGACTTTCCCAAGCGACTTCGCTTCTTTCGATGGGATCTTGAAAAGTTCTAAGAAGATCCGAATTTTCCGAGGCAAATTTTGTTTAGCGATGAGCCTCATTCCTGGATCAATGGGTATGTAAACAAGCAAAATTGCCGCATTTAGGACGAAAAGCAAACTGAAGAGAGTCAAGAGCAGTCATTTCATCCAGAAAAAAACAACGGTTCGGTGTGGTTTGTGGGTCGGTCTACATTTCATCAAAAACTAGGTCGGTGAAAACCGGTGGCAAAGGTCAATGGTGATCATTAACGAGCAATAATAACTGACTATTTGATGCCGGAAATTGAAGCTACTGATCTCGGCGATATCAACCATGGATTTATTGAGAGAACACTTCAGTGAGCTGATAATTTCACGTTTTGTGCCAGTAGATTGACTACCAAGATCGTGTGATATCCCACCGATCGACCCAGTAGGGATATGTAAAGTCTACAGTCTATGTGGACAATTTAGCTTCAATGCAGGCCTTGGAGCAGTTACCATTTGAAATACTCGATGAGTCATCGAAAATTGGACTCAACGGATTGACCATCCGAGACGTAGCCGCGGCCAACATTTGAAAGAGAAAATCTTGTCAAAAAATGTTCTTTCGAATGATAATAAACATGCTCTATTAAATTCGAATCATCTATGAAGGGAATCTCGAAATGGATCACCTTTTACTTGGGGAAAAAAGCAATTCGAAAATCACTTATCTACACATTTCGAAAATAAAATGTATATTTTTAAACTACTTTAAAAAAATATATTAATATTTTAACAAACTCATATTTAACTATTAGCCAAATAATCACATACATACATAAGCACACACGCACTTACAAATGTTCGCGCTTTTTACATATTTCATTCAGAGTGAGCTTTTTTATTCTCTTATCCCACACGATGCGTACACAAGAGTTACAAAAATTTGAAAAATTTAAAAAATGGAACTAAATTGCGAATTAACAGTTATCCTTAGATAAAAACATTAACAAATTTTATTATAAGAAATTCCTTCATTGGTACGGAAAAAAATAACAGTTAAATTGCCCAGCTATGAGAGTTTGCTCATTTTACTGCGTTTTTTTCAACATCACCCTCCACCAACGAAGTGTTTTTGTTTCCTTTACAACGTTTTTGTAAACCACTTTTTTCGTATTCATATTCTACAGTTATTTTCTAATTAGTTGTTGAAAATGTAAAATGATATTTTTTGCTTTTCATATTTCATTTTTCTCGCTCTAAAAACGCTCAAGTGCAGTCACATTTTCTGTTATTTTTATTTTTTATATTTTTTAATATTCTCCCCATTTACTCTTTGTTGTTGCAATTACATTTTTTTTTTTTCGCATTGACTATTAATTTGGTATTGGAATTAATTTTTTCTCTGTCTACGTTCGAAAGGAAGGGATATGTTTATGTTTTTTACCTCTCAGGTGGCTTGATCGATAAGCATCTGCAATTAAAAAAGAGAAAAGAGAAAAAAGTAATGTATTGACCGAGTTTTCATAAGAAAATATGCAGTTATAGTAGGTATGTACATGTACTTGAGTTTATTACATATTATTTACAGTTACATATCTATGTATGTATGTACGTATGTATGTACAATTGGTTAAATTTGTATGTAAGTATGTACTTATTGTATGTATGCATGTGTGATATGGCCATTTACTGTTGAATGTTTCAATGTTTCAAGGAGCAATGCTGAAATATTTGTCTGTTTATTAATATGTATATATTCATGTAAATATATTTTATGGAATTTCAAATATTTATTTATAAATGTGTATGTTTGTTATAAAATTGTTCAACTAGAGTTGAAAAAAAATTAAATTTCTTTCTTAATATTGTATATAAATTTCTAAGTATATGAATTCTCCAAAAGAGGCATAACATAAATAATTAAATTTTTTGCAGTGAGATTTTAAAATTTTTAGATTGAAATTTATTTTCAAAATATAAATTTTTATATGAACGAATGCGACTTTGTTCAAAAGACCGTCCCGTACCGCTCGAACAGAGTGATTTCGTGAAGAAGACTTCGAAAAAAAAACAGCTGACTGAAAAGCACTGCCTGCTACAAAGGACTTTTGAATTTCTGAAATGAATTAAAGAGCTACCCACGAAGCAGAAAGAGAGAATGCCAGAGAGTAAGCTGTAATTTATTATAATTGCAACTGTGACGATCTAACAGTCACAAAGCATCTCTCCCTCCAGGATTATAAATTTGGAATTGTTAAAAATGCTTGAGAGGTTAGGAAATCTATCTAATTTGTTGCAAATCTAGAATGAAGTAGAATATTTCATATTACGTTGGTTGTGGGATAGATCAGCAGATGTTATAGGTCATTAATTACCCGTTTTATTAGTTCTTCATCGTTTTAGAGGAAATATTTTATAAAGCTCTACCATCAGCTTTAGGGTATTTAGTTGCACCAGGGTTGCCAAATGACTTGTCATACACATCCTGGTTTTACGCCAGCTGCACTGCTGCACCGGTGAAAATTCAATGTTTCAAAGTCCATATATTTTTTTCTTTTACCAAAATGTCACTGTTAGGCCACAAAATTGTCTCATCTAGTCAATAAATGGTAATTATATATAAATGTAGAATATAAATGTAGAACGCAATTCGATTATATCAGTGATAAGCCTTTTATTATTCTTCCATCCTTAACATCTTACAACTGGGTTGTCAGACAGCAGCACTAGTTATCCTTCACCTATGATAGCGAAATCAGAAGTGTAATTAATGATTTGGGTCTTAGAAAATCCTTGAGACTGCTGATATTCAACTCTGGTTACCAGTACCAATTATATGACTCCAATCCTCAGGAACAGAAATTTTTGCAATACATACATCTGTATTCCAAGCCGAAGTTCCAGTCATTATGGAAGGTGTGGGCTAGATTGAAATCGAATTCTAGAACTCCACAGGAGACGGTCAAACGGTTAAATGATTTATTTATCAGTTGGGTTCTTGTATGAACGAAGTCCGACGAAAGAGATTTCCTACGTTAAAGAACGCATTGGCATGTCCTTTGTTAGTAACTAGGATGAAATTTAATCGAAAAAGGTAACAAAGGGAAATGTACTCTCTCTCATCGTCTCTAAGCTAATAGGAGTCTTGACAGGTCAAAGTCTGATAGGGCGACAAACACAAAGGAAGGGAGTTTTATTTAGAACTTGCCACAGCAGCTGTACGAATGATGAAAAGGACAAAACTCTGTCATGTTTCGTTCGACTGTCTTACTTTGAAAAAGCTAGGCACAGATATTTGGAAGCTATGTATGTATTTTATTTGGGATTTTTTTATTTTGGGATTTTGAGACTGATATAATGATTTCCAGACATTGATATTGAAATTTTTATTTGTATGTTTCTAAATTTAAGACATTGATTTTCAGATCTTTTTTGTTTTGGTTTTGAGATTTTGTTTGCTGTTTAAAAACAAAATTTTTTGTTTGAGATATTTATTGATATTCAGTTTTTGATTTAGGCATTATGAGATATTGATATTGTGATTTTTATTTTAAGATTTTGTTTTGGGATTTAAATTTTGAAATCTCAGATCAATAGCCAATAGCCAATCCTATGAAGTTTTTTGGCCAGCCGCCTTAGTCCAAAAATTATTACCTTGTTTGAAAGTATCTTTTTCACTCTCATATCGAAAACTAGCCCCCATGGATTTTAAGGTGGCTCTTACCGGGTCCACGGTACCAAATTTTATGTTAATCTAATCATAAAAAAAAATTTTCAAATAGATCAGTACAGAGTCCACTTCAGATTGTTAACTTTGTAATAAATTTCAAGTTAATCAAACTATTTAAAAAATAAATCAGATTTTTCCCTAGTACCACTGTCCGGAAAATCTTTTCTTATCTGGTGCATAAGTCATATGTAGAACACACTCTCCAAGCTTCGAGTCTCTTCGACCAACGACCAACGACCAATTGATCCGTCAGTCGTTCAGGGCAAAACCAGACGAAACCATAGATTGGCTCATCCGTCCAACTTAACTCGGAAATGGTAATAATGTAGGCCCTAGAACAGCACCTACTTTAGTTAGATAAAGTGGATAAGATCGTCATTTCAATTTGTGCTCCTACGTGAAGCGCTGTAATTGGAGAAAACATAATACACATAATACCTCCCTCCCAGATAGTTAAAGGACTAGTGGGGAAACAAGGCAAAAGTTTAACACATCCTTGATGTGTCAGCTTTCAATAACATTTCGATAATTACTTATAAATGAAAATATTATTAACCACTTATTAAAAACATTCATACTACATTTGCGATGACTGAAAAAATTTTATTTACAATAATTACATTTACAACACAAGAACCTCAAGTATTAACGAATTCAAGTACCCGATGATCAGTCACAACAGACAGAAGTGGTAAACTGTTGACAGGGAGAGTTAAAGATTGGCTAAAAAGGGTTAAAACGCCGACTACAAAGGACCAAGACGTACAAAACAAAATGTGCATGTTGTATTTTAACCTACAAACATATGTAATAACTACATATATATGTACATGTATGTACATGTGTAATTTTATTTTGTATTTTAGTTGTTTTCTCTCTCTCATATTTCGCATATGCATTTTGTAAAACGGCGTGCAGTTGTTGTTGTTACTTGCTTTGAGCCGGTGCGCCCCACTGAGTGTGTAGCACATGGACACTCCTGCATGCCCCAGACGATTTGAATGCACGACCAAACGGACCAACGGCAAGGGCTAAAGGTTTGACGGTCCGTCGTCCAAACGTCGAAAGGGTAATTATAACCTACAACTCCACTTGCTTCTTTTTTTTTTTTTTTTGTTGAGCAAAAATATTCGTTCTTCTGCGCGCTCTTCGCATACACGGCTACATTACATTACAAACATACATATGTAGGTATGTACACATATACGCACGTGTAATGCATGTGCGTTTTGCATTTTTGAAATTTCCTACAAAATTTTTGCAATCCACTTTACAATTCCCACTTTCTGCTTCCCCAGCCAAAGTTCTCCTGTATTTTTGTTTTGCCCATCGCATCGCATATAAGGTTTTTCAGTTGTTATATGCAACCTGTCAAGTTGCTTTTGTTAGGTGGTAGCCTTCACTATTGTATTATTGGGGGTGCACTGAATTATTAACCAACACTTTACTCCTTCGTTTACCCCTTATGAGGTCCTTTGGTCGATTTTCTGATGTTTCGCTTATATGTTCTTTCTAAAAGCCAATTTAGTTGCCCGTTAGTTGTTGTAATGAAATTAACCAATGTGTTTTTTTTTTTTTGCTTAGTTGAAGGGCACTTGTCTGTCCGTCTGCATGTGCGTCTATTTGTGGAAATTGAGAAGCTCTGGAGTTAATGTTGCGGCTCACCATAGTTAAGTGGCTGCCACACGTTTCAAAGATTTTAGTTGCAAATTCAAGTGAGTGGCAAAAGTAGTAGTTGGTAAGAGGATTTGGAAATGGAAATTTTAGCAGATTTTTTTTTTATATAAATAAATAATACGAGCTTTGTCTACTTCTCGCATAACTTTCTAAAACCTAAAATTCTAAACTCTAGAAGTGGATTTCTATTTGAAGCATTTATAATAATATATAAGAAATATGTATGTGAAAAAGAGAAATACGACATACTATGTGCTTGCATCCTATTCTGTTTTAATTTTTATAATTTTAAAAATTTTTTCTGATTTTGTACAAAAAAAAATTGACTTTCACCAAGAATAAAATTTCTGAAAACGGTTTGAATGGTTGCCGAAATGTAAATTTTACTTTTTTTTTTTTGCTGAATCCAATGCATTTTTCATAAACAATTCCTTACCAATTTTCAAATCAAACTTATTAGTAATTTTTCAGATTTATATGTCAAATCATGATACAAAAATTCTTGAAGATAGTTTCCAAGGCAAATTTACGCATTTTCTTTGTGTAATTGTAGTTTCGAAACGTCAAAAACAAAATTCGTTAAATGTATTTTGTTGGTGTAATAAAAAGTTCGTAATGCCAAAACATATTTTTTTTATGTATTTTGTTTATGTAATTTGTTGAAATGGAAGGAGCATCAAGGAATCACATGATGTGACAACTTCACCTTCTATAAATTCGCCTTAGTAGTTAACTTCGAAATTTTTGTACTAAACGTGATTGCAGATATGTTTGATCTTGCACTTACAAAATTTTCAACTTGGATATTTTTTAATTATTTTGGGGTTATTTACAATAAATCTAAGCAGATGCTATAATATTGAATACACGTATGGATCCATAAAATATTTGTCTAAAGCCACTTTTCATTTACGACAAGAGGAAGAAGAGGAGAGAATTCGCGCTGACCGGAAAGGGATAGTCATAACCCCGGTAAACTCTGCGGTCCATGATCGATTTCTCGGAAATTTCTTTTTCGATTGCTTAGCATAGCCTGTATGTTTAGGCATCATTAATCTCCAGAA